GCAAGCTGAGAATTAAATCATATATAATAATGCATGGAGATATTGACATTTTGTTTCTACTTCAGATATGCTRAAGAAATGTCACCTATTGCAATTAAAAATCTCATGAATTTAAGGAAAGTGATAACACTTTTTAATCAAGCTGGTAACAAGTCAAGAGGTGAGAATATGCATGGAGTGGATTTCATACAGTAAATTGGTAACCATACTACAACTATTTGATGTCTTACATGTYRTGATTGGAGAAATCCCTAGCAAGGAAGACAGTTATAGGAAGCCATTCTATGGCAGGTTTTACTACACTTCTCAGTAGGGTTTGGCATGACAAAAGTTTTTGCCTAAGTTTTCAATTGTCAGTGAAATTTACATGTTATTAAAGGCAACAACACTGATAATAATCATGCCCAGCCTTTATTGTCAGTGAACGTACAACGGCCTGTACATAAAAGTATGCCAATTTCACTGGTCATACTTTGGCACGTTGCGCTGTAAATGCTTTTGAGGTCGCCCCTGACATTATGGCCTTTTCACTGACCAAATGTTTGTCATGCCAAACTCAACTGAGAAACATAAAGCCAGTTGCATGCTGAAAGACATTTTTTCTTCTTATACAAAAACTGCTCTAGCATGGTGACTGCAATACAATCTTTATGTAGTTATTTACTTGCCTGTCCCCCTTGAAGAAATAAAGAAAAACATACTGTATACATTTTACTATTAAATCTTTTACTGTAATGTTTTTTTTTTAGTTTTTAATAACACCTTTGATATATTGCAGATAGAAAACAAGTTAAAGATCTTGCAATGGATTACCTTTTAAAGGTATGTTCCTCCTTGCCATAAAGTAGTGACAACCAGTTACAACACTGTTATTGTGCCACAATTTTGGACAAATTTGTTGGGATTTCTTTAGGATTCCCATTTTCTTCGTGTTTCAATGACATCTCTGTCACTTCTCTCCCCTCTCTCTCCCCGTACATTGTTGTCCCAGGTAACAAAATTGCAAATGAAACCTCTCGAAAAATAAAAAATGTTGGGGAAGGGTTGGATTATGGATTTTTCTTGTTTCCTTAGGATCTCACAACTAACCCTTCACTACCAATYCCTGAGAGATATTGTGAAATGGGTTTATGGAAACAAATAATGCAAGTAAACCAACATGTCTGGAGGTTAATGGAGTCACTKGAGGAACAGGATGTAGGTTCAAATGATTGTGAAAAGGTAAGGATGCCTGTCAATAAGAGTTAAATACAGTCAACTCTGACTCATCTCGCATAGTTACAGTATGTGTAAAATCTTAAGATAAATAAACATGTATGCTTGCTTCGAATGCTATGTCTGGCTTTCAGACTATAGTAAACTCCCTTCATGCATCAGACAGAAGAGTCACCCAAATTTATATGAAGATCATACAGTAAATCTGGTATATTTGCAAACTCTAATTACATTATTACCTATAATTACCACTCAAATTAGTCATCCATTCAACTGTTATTCATGTTATTCCCATATTTCTGTATAAAACTGCTGATGCTACGTGTATCAATAAGAAGTGAAACCCTTTAAGCTATCACAACTACTGCATCAATTCTGCATGTATACTTAGTAACTGAGTTCTCATCCCCCTAAATGTAGTTTTGTATGGGCCTTTTTTTAATAAATGTTAAATATCCACTTGTAAGCTATTTATAGATATGCCATAACATGGACATATTTTAGGATGTCCAATAGAGACAGACACGCATTGCATAACTTTAATAAATCACAGGAAATTCATTGTTGTGGCCAGGAAAGTGTCAAATTGTCACTTGTTTTTCTGGTTCAATGAATGTCATAATTCAATATTACAATTGTGATGTTGAAATCATATATCAGCATATGGTCTGACCAGCGTAGCGGCATTTATGATCATGCATATAAAGATGAGCAGTAGCTATTGTAACTCAGAAAGTTCCTAATTATAGCAAATATCTTCATGTATAAAGCTCAAAGTCAATTCTTTTAGAGCTATAAAACTGTCCCACAGGTTCCTCATGCTTGTCTGCCAACTTGCGCACCAAAACACCATCTTTAAAATAACCTTGTTCAGCCCAGTCCTGCATTGCAGACGACGAGAAGGGACCAAATATATCGGCATTTTTAGAATCATCCCAYTTATACTGCCAGTATACCTCATTGTCATCTGCAACATCTTTGCTCCCAGATGAAGAATTTTGTGGCTTCTCCTCRCCTTTACCTTCAGAATGACGATATGCAGCCTCCAATTCATCATCATCATCTAACTTTTTTGCTTCTTCAGCTACCTTTTTCAGTTTATACTGCAATTTTTCATATGTGTCCTGATAAATACCGAAATCTCCATACTGCAAGAGAGTGTCTGCAAGTTCTGTTAAACTTAGCAGTTGTTTTTTGTTTTCCTCGTTATCTTTTGKTTCACTAGCTTCTTGTTTTTGCTTTTTGGCCTTGAGCTTTGCAGATGCAGAAGACAACTTTGYCTTCCCCCCAAGCCGTCTTATAGCACTCAAAATAGTCTCTCCTGGTTTAAGGATCGCAACAATCTTTTGCAAATACTCTGCAGTATTTATTTCACTAGCATCCTCAAATTGATCAGACGATTCCATCTTTTCATCTGTAGTCTTGATGTTTTTCTCTTTAACTTTCCCCCAGTCAATACTATCCAGCCAGTCATCTCTTATCTCTTTTYCCTTCTTGAGGAAATAATTCCCCTCCGAATCAAAGTAGCCATCTTCCATCTCCTCCTTCAAGTTAAAAGGTGTTATTTTAATCTCTCCATCGTGGTCTATAGTTGAATCTTCTTGTCCTTCGACGTCGTCTTCTGTCAAGACGTAMGAATCCTTCTTCAGTTTGTTGTCTTCGTTATCATCCTCTTCGTCGCTGTCTAGCGAATGTTTAGCTTTAAAACGCTTAGCTGAATCTTCATCCTCCATTTCTTCACTCTGGTTGGGCTCATCTTCTCCAAAACGAACTTTTCTTTTTGACATTTCGATTTTATTTCATACAAAGTACRATTTTACACAAACCTCGTGGAACTAAAACAACATGGCCGACGTTAGTAGAGGAAGGATGCGATGATTTCTAAGCTGAGTTCTAATTGGTTTAAGAGCGCGCTGCAAAAGAACCAATCAGATGGCTTGTTATATTCTAGGCATTTTCTTTCTTTCTATCTTTTTTTTCCTTTCCTTTCCTTTCCTTTCCTTTCCTTTCCTTTCCTTTCCTTTCCTTTCCTTTCCTTTCCTTTCCTTTCCTTTCCTTTCTGTATCATTATATTATTGATTCGTACCTTTGATTTTTGCATTAATTTCTTTCCAATGTTTTGAGCATAAGCAATATTAAGACAATACATCAGATATTTTTTTAGTTGTGTGTGGATCTTCTTACTTTCTTCAAAAAACTATTATTTATGTTATATTTATTTTATTACTTTTATTACTTTATTGGCCCAGCCTAAAAAATGTTTTTTTTAATTTTATTTTATTTGAAGACCGAGAATTCTGCTGAAAAACCAAAGAAAAGTTTTCGGGATTTCTACATGGAGATGATCACCTCAAACTTTTCTGATGACTTAGATAAATTAAGAAAGGTACAACAAAGATCTCGTTGGAAAAAGATGCAGATTTTATTGCTTTTCATTGGCAATGTTTGTTGAAGCATCTTAAATAATAATCACCTTAATCAAGCATTTTCCACTCTTCCCATTTCCCATTTTATTTCCCATTTTCCCTCTTCAGGACCCTTAGCTATTCAGGACCCTGGTACAGTAACACCCCCACCCATAATTTATTCCAATTGGAATCTGGTGGGAGAAGAGCCTCTCTGTTGAATCCACTGTTAATCCCATTATTATTATTATCATCATCATCATCATTGTTATTATTATCATTATTATTATTATTATTATTATTATTATTATTAAAACTCCACTGACTATTTAAAAATTCTATTCATTCTAAAAAATCATTCTCAGATTTAATTGCATACAACTGTAATCAATCCTGTCTCTTCTATTTCAGGATCCAAGCCTTGATCACAAAAAGGTTAGCATACTGATTGATTGTTTGGAGACAGGGAAAGATATATGGTCAGATGTTGAGAAAGAACTACTGCAATCTCTTGAGAATTGATCAAACCAAGATTAATTTTGAGTTATAAGAAGAAGAAAAATGTTGTTAGTTGCAAAATAAGGAGAAAGCTTGTCATGATCAACACCAATGATTTATATTTAAAAAAATCAAATACCCCCTTTTTAGTTTAATATTTTAGGATCGGAGACCAAAATCTTTTGGGAGAAAAGCAATATCTGACAAGAAATTGTCATTYTCATTGTCCTTTCAAACGTATCCTCCCCCATCACCTCTTGATAGACCCCTTGCATGTGATGTCAAAGCAGCTCGATCTGGGGGACAAAACAAAAGAATTCCAGTCTCCTGAGAATTGAAGAACATCTTTTCTATTTCCTTCTCCCATTCTCATACCTTCTCCCCCTTCCCTTTCTTCTTCTTCTATCATTTTCCTTTTTCCACTGTCCTCCCCCCTTCCTCCTCTTCCCAGACTATCAACTGCATGACCTTATATCACAAGGCATAATWCAGTTTTGGCTCAGTTTAGTCTTGACCTTCTTTAATCTCATCCGCATATCCTTCAACGTTTTGTCCTGGTAATTGRTACTGCGCTAATGCTCGTTCAGTTTTTAATCCCCCGATTAGTTTTTTAATTAGTGGAGACGAGATGACGGTGCCCGCCGCTTGAGGTGTGCTTCGAAGAGGTTATCCGTGGGGTTTACTATCTCATRATTCATCCGCGGCGAGTCAGTAGTGGGAGATAGCTGAAATAGTGAGCACAGATACCTCGCCCGTTTAATATCAAAGCTTATCATTCTTGAAAAAGAGTGTATGATTCTCCTACMAGGACATACAAGTCTATATTGGCGTTCTTCCAAGCGCGTCTAGCGTGTGAAAATTATGGCCAACTCGGAGATAATATGAATTTATTTTATATGGCTTATAATTTTTTTTTACTGTTCAGTTTATCATTTTAATACCTCAGTATCCAATGGCGATTTAAGCTCTCGTGAAGGCAAACTGCGTTGACAGATTTTTTTGCAGCATTTGATGTCTTATCATTTATTTGTTGAATTTTCCTGCTGAYGCCTCTTCAATGGCAAGCGAGTAAGCATTACGCATCATGGCAGCTGAAAACTTGGACAAACAGACGTTTTCTACAGCATCACGGCTTATTATCTGCATGTTGAATGCAGTACTTGTCCGATGTTCTCCCGAGGCGCTGTTAAACCTTTTAACATTAAAAAACTTTATCTGGTGTGTGTAAAAGCGCGCGATAAGAGTTTAGTTTCACGATGAATCGCAGCATGTAGCATACCTGTACTGGAATTTATTGGTCAGAAATTTCCAAGAAAAGTTAACTAAGGCTTACTACTTARCTGGAACTTGCGTCGCGAGACAGGATTTACAAGACTGACAAGAGGTAGAATAATGATGTCACTGATGTGATCGTCGTGTTACAAATGATGATCAAGCTGCTRATGAAAAAGATTATGAGATTTGGGGGAAAACATAATGATGGCAAGGGCGGATCCAGGGGGCAAAGGGGGGCTGGAGCCCCCACCCCTTCAGCAGGAAAAAAAACCTGAAGAATTATGCTTTTTTATTGTTTTCCGTTGTTTTGACGGAAGAAACTCAATAAGCCCCCCCCCCCCCCCCCTAAACATAATTAGCCCATAACTTTCTGTCTTATTAAATATGATCATAAATGAACTCGATGTTTCGTGTTATTCAGATTGGCTTATAAACGAAAACCATTTGAGAGTCACGATATATATTGCAAGGTTTTCCACGTGGAAGTAATCATACACTCGGGGTCTGGTGCACGAAGCCGAGTATTTACGAAAGAAGTATCCAACTTCYTCTTGGAAAGTTTTCAAAGTTTTTATTGTTCAACATGTTTATTTTGAAAACTTCAAGTATGGGATACGGAATAGCCATTAAAAGAAGATTAAATAGCAGGTTCAGAGAGAGTAACCTTTATGTAAACGTTTTTCCTTCTCTCTCTCCCTCTCCTTCTCTCTCTCTCTCTCTCTCTCTTCCTCTCTCTCTCTCTCTGTCGTTTATTCAAAGACTTTCACCACCGTTGTTACATCTCAAAACATTGTTCTAAAACCATCCAGCATATTGACATTTATCAATGGCTCGTCGCTACTGTTGAGTGATGGCTTCCATTAACAGCTGCCAAGGAGTTGCTTTCGCACAACTTGACCTTAAAACACAATCCAAACACATCAGATCGCGTTTCACTKTCATGACATTTGATTTGTTTTCTCTTATCGTTGCACAAACCATAGCTCTCGTTGTAAAAGAATGACTCGATTTGATAGAACAAGAATTATGCTCGTTCCTCTTGGACTTCTGTTCAGTTTGGTTTATCACAGGACTTCTGCTGAGAGAGGTTAGTAGAGCTAAATCATACTATAAAGCATACATTAATCCTCTGCAATTTCTTTATCGCTAGAACCCGCGAAACCAGCTAGAAAAAGTTTGAAAGTTTTGCTGCTGTTCCTGGCGTCGAAAATTCGATTCCTGTCTGTGATTTACAAAATGAAATTCAGGATAAAAATTAAGGGAAGTTTAGTTTTAAAACAAGTTGTATTTTGCGTCACGCCAACGCCGGACGAAGTATCCACTCGTTTCATTCATTCGACAAACGAACTCAACGACCTCAAAGCTCAGCATGAGAGAAAGAACTCTGATACGTTAAGTTAAAAGTCACAAAACTGACTAAAAATGCTAAAAATGATTCTTGTCGTCGAGTTTGGCAAGGTTTTCTTCGTGTATCTGAAGCGCTATGCAGCTCTTGAACACCAAACCACATTGACGTCATCATCACATAATCCCATTCTAATATTGAAATAATTGGAAAACCGATAACTTAATTATCCCAAAATGTTTTCTAATAACTGAATAATCTTTTCTATTATCACTGTACGAATTTTTGGACTAATAAACGTGCACGAAAATGTATGAAAAATGCCACCAAAATCAATTGGTTTATTGTTTTTTCCTCTGTAAGAATGATGAGCATCTCCGCATGTTGGACAGAGTCCATGGCAAGTTAATACCTAGATATAAATCTACTTCAGAAAAACAATCACGTGTAATGACGTCCATTTTTTACTGTGAATCCGCGGCGCTGTTTAATAGGGTGATCTAAGCGCTGGATACTCAGAGAAGCCACAGTAGCTTTTTATAGTCGATAAAACAAGAAATAGCGGTCTTTATTCCGAATTCTAAGCCAGATATGCTGTATAAAGACTATCAATGACCTTGTCTATAATCACTCAAGAACAGATGTAATCCTTATCTCCCTAAAACATTCGTAATCATGGGATGAGACTGTATCTAGTGGATTCATTAACGATTTTTGACAATTCACCGGCCGAAATATTTTCCACGAGTCCATGGAGGCTTTTCCTTTTTTTCCGCGGACAATCTATTTCCCCTTCCTTTTTCGCTTACACTCTTGATTGGATTTCGATTCTACGAATGCTCACTGATAGCGTGAAGGCTGAAGTAAGTCTACAGGGTGTACCGCGAAGCTATCAGTGTCGATGCGTCCAAACACGCATATTCAATTGTGCCCTTAATCACGCAGAGCGCTAAGTGGATCTAAAAGTTGACTTATTCCAGCGMTAAACTCAGCATAGTATTCCGTTGTAGTATCACTTACCGATTCTTACTGGACAATTGCCTATTATGCTTGCCAACTATCTCGCTTATTTATTGTTTTTAAGTGTGGCTCTAGTCCACTTGTCTCTCCCGTCTTGGGTTTCGGTACTTTATCATCAAAGTAAATATAAAAAGGGAAGTATAATAGCGGTTTCATAAAGTGGCTCTYCTTMCACTGGATTCTCTTGTTGCACTGGAATTTAGAAATTGATTGTTGCATGCGGAGTGAGGAAAAACCGACCCGGAGAAAAGTCATCGCTACAAAGTAGAGTATCCCGRAGGGGGAGGGGTACTCTTGCCCATTTAGGGTAGGGATGTGCCGCTGAGCCCTCTGAACCCTGACCCTGTTCCAGAGTAAAATCGCTGAAATTCATACCCTGTTCCAGAGCAAGATCGCTGAAAGTCATACCCTGTTCCGCGGTATTGCGAAAATGGATACCCTGTTCCAGAGAGGAGAGAGCGTGATTTCATATACCCTGTCCCAGAGCGAGCGCGATTTTATATACCCTGTTCCAGAGTAGAATCACTGAAAACCATACCCTGTTTGGCGGCACGTACCCGTATAGCGAATATAGGGGAGTACCTCCCCCCCCTCGGGGGATCGAGAGAATAGTCACCGAGTTCGAGAATTTAACATTACGGGTTGCATGCCTTAGTGAGAGCTAGGCAAGCGYGCTCTCACCGCTTGGCCAATCAATACTAAAAGCCAGAAGTTACCATATAGTTTCGTTTGCCGATATAATTCTAAAACGCAAATCAGTGTCATACAGAACAAGACAGAGAGGATTGCTTGGCGAAATTATTAACGCGACATCACTTCCATCAATAAAGCAAAGTGCCTCTGGCACTGAAATCGTTTAGGTCAATTAGAGCAATTCCCGGTGACGGCAAATAGCTATCAAATCGCTATTTTTTGTTTTCCTCAGTGTCTTTGTGGCCAGAAGGTCAGTACGGGTTACCAAAACCCATCGAAGGATGTCCAAAATCCAGTCCATTCACGTGGGAAACAGGSTCACTGTTCCAAGACTGTGAAGACACAAATCCTCAAACAAGCAAATCACCAAGCTTCCACTTGGCGGGATATGTCAAGAACGATGTGTTCCAGGAGTTTTGCGTCAAGACGAATACAATCAATGACAGCGCTAACCCCCCCTGGCCTACTGGACAGTACTGTATCTATCAAAAAGGCGARAAGTGTCCGAGAGGATTGGAGTCAGGGTGGGTTGTTTGGGACGACGAAAGTGAAGTGATAGGAAGAAACAAGAACTCGTGGAATGGAACACTGCCTAAAGGAAAATACTACTACGATACGTAAGTGTATACCCTACAGATGTTACCATTGAATCCATATGCTTCGCATGATAAAGGCACGGTTCAAATGTTGTGCGCCCCCAGGCCATGGTAGTGCCAATGAGTCTCTGACGGATGTCACACGCAGAAACGTTTCCTGTAACAAAGCTTCGAATTATAAGAAACGCTAACCAATACTGAATAGCGATAGAAAAAAATCGTATTCATTTGTCCAAGAAAAGCATCTTGAGACCTTCACAATTCTCGATACCCCAGGGGCGGATCTAGGAGAGGGGTGCAGGAAAGCGCCCCCCTCCCCCTAGATGAGTTTGTAAGTAAAGGGAGCACCCCCTCCTAAAACGAAAATCCTGGAAGGTGTCCCGCCTCCCCTAGAAAAAGTCCTGCGTCCGCAATCCGTCTCTGTACCCTGAAGAAACCCTCTGGATTGTTCTAAGTCAGGGACCGGGTATACAAATTATCACAGATCAAATTGGAATTTATCTCGTTAGGTTTTGCAACTCTAACAAAATGAACGACTTTGAGTTCTGCCGATATCTACCCTGGGCTCCTGAGAGTATGCTTCACTTCGCAATTTGTTTCACAACAGCAAACGCCGCGGGAAAAACCATCTGTCCCCCGCGATATCGGAGAATTTCAAACGATGTCTGACTGTCTGTCTTACTTTATCTGTAATTCCAAGTTTTCTGGTTTTCACCATTGCACAGAAAAATGTACTTTTGCTGYAGCACCAAAGGTAGAAAGACGGAGAAGATCGACCTTCCTCTGTCATCTCCTTTCTTCCTCATAGCATACAGAGATAGTACGTGTCAGCGTGTCCGGGGTGCCAYGGCCACTAGGGAGTTTATATACTATGAAACAGAGTACTATACGATGGTGACAAAGAATGATTATGGTGGCGCTTCTCCTTATCAAGTGACGCGGTCAAGATATGGACACACTATTTATTACTGCTATTATAGACGTGAGTATGTACCTGTATATGTATGTGCGCAATATTGTTATCGTGTCTTGAAGATACCAATGAGAAACAAGTATTTTTAAATATGCGTTGTCGTTCATGCGCRAGTATGTTTATGTCTCTATCTTCGACACTTCCTTTATTCTTGCCCTTTACTGTCCTCACTCTAGGCGTACCTCCTTTGACAATCATTATACACCTTATATATTACTTTTATTACAGGCATATGTCTTAAGCGTAAACGGAACCCTTTTGACGCTCCCTTTTTCTTTATCCTAATTACTTYCCTTCCTCCTTTACAGTCATCAAAAGGTCAAAATATAGACACGCGATACGAAGAAATGTTATCAAAATCAGTGTTATCAACTTATCGTTGACGACGTGCCGCCACAGCTTCCCAACTCCTTCACTCTCCCCCACCCACCCCACCCTTCTCGACCTCGATATTAACCCCCGCCCTGCTAGAATAAACGATAATGAATGAGAGCGTGCTCGCGCTGTCATAAGGCCTCGTCCGTGAACTCAAGATCTCGTTTCATTTGTGTAATAAATTCTTCAATACACTTCGCTAAAAGCAGTAGCTTCATGCGTGTCTGAAATTCAAATTCAGTTGACTCAATGCGGCGACCAAATTCTTCCTCGACGTCACACCATTATAGCGTTCATTTGTACCAACTATTTATCTTTATCTTTGTTTAACAGCAAACTACTGTCCTCCTCTTGAACTTCATTAACGGCCGGTCATGTGTATCCTCCTCGTTGTGCCAAATTCTTCCTCGATGTCACACCATTATCGTTCATTTGCACCAACTATTTATCTTTATCTTTGTTTAACAGCAAACTACTGTCCTCCTCTCTCGAGCATCATCAACGGTCATGTTTATCCTCCTCGCTGTTCTCGAGCCAACAGTAATGTTTTTAACGACACGTGTACAGCGCGCTGTAATCCCGGATATGTCCCGCGGGACTCGTTCATACCGGTATCTGTTTGTGGCGAGGACGGACGATGGGATTCCTCTCCAGCAGTTACTTGTCAGCGTAAGTTTAATGGTGGCTATGATTAATATTAATATCATGTAAGATCTTTTCAGCTACAGATCCTTAATGCTTACGCTTTGCATATAGCGTTATAAAATAATTATTAAAGATTTCACTTTCTGATTGGTTGAGGGTGCGTGCTTCATGAAATCAGAGAGCACGTGCGCGCTTTCCGTTGTGTTATTGTTATCCAAAAAAACGGCTATACCGATTTGTATCTTATAAAAGAAATGAAAAACTTGCTTTCTGCACTATGCTATGTGCAGCAAAAGAGACCATGCATTAAGATCTCTTGGTGCAGTTATTACACGGCATGCTAATTCGTCTAATTTGTCTCTTGTGTTGTTGTCTCTCGCGTTTTATAACTGCACAGAACCCACGCGCGCGTTTACTTTCATCCTTCTTTTTCCTCAGTAWATTTTGTATAAACCAACGATTGCTTTTGTTTAATTCTTATTTATACGGCCGTTATTAGCGTCGTCGCTTATCGACAACGCTAAGAATGGCTGCGAAATTCCAAATGTGATTACGCCTAGCCCGATTTATAAATAATCACTTACAAATATCATTAAGAATTGGTTGGGCAAATAAACAATCTTTGTGGTGTCAACATAATGTAGCAAAAGACAAGTWCGTATGTCATTCATTTTTGCAGCCATCCCAACAACTACATCATCAACTACACGTCAAAACACAACACCAACTACACAAGAACCCCGCAAAGGTAACAACACCACTACAACACCTCATCCATCAACTGAATCACAACATCAAAMTGGAATCGACAATAGATTAACTACTCCACGACAATCAAACCAAGGCGATCATTCCACCGTGGGGCCCTCTTCTTCCRGTGCCAAGGATAGCGAGGGAGACTTCAGGACTCAAGCCCTCGCTGACGATCAATCGAAGTTGTCATCTGTTGGTCGTATTGTTGCTGGTTCGATCAGTGGTGCTGTTGTTGTGTTTGGTGTAATATTTATCATCTGTGTTTCCCATTGTAGGTAGGTGTTTATATATGAGTAGAGATCGTCTCTCCCTTAATTGAWGGTTTTCACGGCCGCCATGTTGGAGGAATCTAACAAAAGATTTGTCATTAGTCTCTTTTGTTATATCATCTAACATGGCCGCCGTGTCTTTTGTAATTAYATTCTCTTGGGAATGATTGAAAACCAGCAATTTGAGGGTTGTTCTTCGGGTTCTCCTGTTTTCCTTCGTCCKCAAAACCCAACACGYTAAATTCCATTTCGAAGTCATAGCTRTAGCTATAGAGCTTACAGTGTTTTTTGGATTAACTCAGACTGCGAAGTCCCATTTCCACAAACTTGAGCATAGCTGGGACGGATTAAAATTTGAGTAGGGGATTGCTAGTCACCAGTGACTCAATCTGGTCTATAGAGATTGTAAACCAAGAACATTGCGAAGRTTATTGAAAATCGTATGCTTAGACGTTCAGAGCCGTTAAGAGGTATGACATGTGGACGTTGGTAATAAAAAACATTGTCCTAAACTTTATTTCGCAGAAGAGAGAGTTCAAAGAAAAAAGAGACGGAAAGAAAGAGGTACGTTTTGTAACTACACATGTCTTCTGCTCTTCACCCGTTAGGACAACGTTTATTAACTGAATAGGTGTATTCCTCAACAGGGCGCTAGACAGATCTAAGTCGTTGGACGAGCTTGTGGCTGGCAGGTATGGCTTCAAGGATATTGATTCCTATAGTTTTATTGTGATAATGTGGCGCACATGATACTTTTAATAATCGATGTTCAATTTATTATTTATTCACTCGCTCTTTAAGTTCTTTTAAATTCCTTTATTTATTCGTTTACTCATACAATACTTCCCTTCTTTTATTTGTTTGTTTGTTCTACCCTGTTTGCTCATGTTTTCTTTCTTTTAGCGTAAGCAAACAGCTTAGAGCGCGCGCAGTATGCGCGTGCACAAGAACAAACTATGGCAAAAGTGATTCTAAAAATAGCATCAAACGGTGCCTATGATGGATACAAGCATAAATACCAGAGATTCTTTCTCTTAGTTCAATTTCTCTTGATCTACATCATTCTAATTTATTGCTGTTTTTCTTACTATAGAGGGCTTATGCACCGCTCTGTATCAGAAGAGAACCTCATCTACGCAGACCCGTAAGTCATATTCAWACACTAACATTCGATTTCTTACGAAGACATAAACATTTCCACGTGAGAGTTGTACGTAMATGTCCAACTCTTTCTCATTTCCATTATGACGCGCCAGCTCAAGGRCTAATGTTATTCTTGACAATCGGTGTTTGTTCTCTTAGATTTTTAAGGAGAAAAAAATGCTTATCGTAATGATGTATTTCTTTATTCTTTATTTAGCGTCAGTTTTCAAGTCGAATACACGGTAAAAACAGATGAAAATCCTCTATATGAAAGGTACGCATTAATTACTACTTCTTAGCGCAAACYTGAGCTTCCAAGGAACTCGTCTCTGGTACGCCGCAGCCATTTCTGCCTAGCCTCCCGTCACTTTAAAAAAAACTTGCTATCGCTAGTCACCACCGCAAGTACAGCAGTGGCGCAGCTTAACGGGGTCAAACTGAAAGCATGTGAAGGCGCCTCTGGCAGGCGCTATACAGTCCAAGTACGAGTTTGAATTAGTAGGGGTTGGTTTGAGAGAAGRGAAGAAAAATCGGAGGGCCGGAAAAACCCTCGGAGTCAGAAATAGAACCAACCAACTCAGCTCACATGGGACGACTGATATTCTAACACCGGACCTCAGAGGTGAGACGCGAGCGTTTTACATAAAGAAGTGATCCTTCGATGTCCCTGATTTATGACGTTTGGTATGAATGTAATTAAAAATATATTAATTTTTTTTTTAAGTTACGATTGCTCGACTTTACCAAACCCACCCATCCGAAAGACAGATAACATACTTTATGAAAGGTAAGCGATTTTAGGACGAATCGGAGAAGATTGGTAAAGGAAGCCGTGATGTAAACGTGCTTTTAACGAGCTGCATTCTAACGTTAGTCGATGACAGGCGTATGACTTGACAGTAAAGTGTCAAGCAGCAGTAGTTTAGAATTTTAGGACTCTGGCCTTTGTCTAGAACGGGTAGCTCTAGCATACTCAACATGGTGGAGAACCCGATTCAGCCTCAGGCATAGTGTTACTGACAATGCAAAAGGAGGATAGCTATGGATATAATTCGGTTAACAAGACCAATATATAAGCATTGTGTCAGTAAAAAGGATTTAAATATAGGTGCGTATATCTTCCATCCGATATTCTAAATTGATTATTTTCATTTTTCTTCAGCTTTTCTCCTCTTCTTCCTTCGTTCACGGCGAGGGAACAAAGCCAGCTACCCCCATTTAACTACCAGCCAAAAACATTATGATATTTGTCGAATATGTATGAAACCGCAAGTATGACGATGAAATGTAGTTCAWTAGCAAATGACAAATGTGTTGTGAAAAATCGCTTGTTTGTATCGATAAAAGATCTTGGAAGTTCAAGTGTATCATGAAAGAGGATAGTCATGTGACGTATCGAGGCGTGGTTGATATTACTCATATCACGTCACGTTGCAAAGCGTGTGGCTATTGCATTRATCACGTCGGATATGAGGCGCCGTGCTATGATTTCATCACAACATGTCAAGACGTGTTACTGTTACCTTATTGATGGCTTCATTCGACTCCCACTACCAAGATGCTTCGCGAATTTTCTTTCTGATTTAAATTTGTATTCCCTCATAAGAATAGTAAAACAGTTGGTGCTAATTAACTGAACAAAAGAAAGTGTGCAAGGGAGTCTGGTAGTAGAGGTCAATGACGTCATGATGACGCCATCACAATGACAATGAATGTGTAAATACTTCATCGATTGCTGATTGCCATTTCTCTGTCATTTCTTAAAAATATATTAATATAAGAAGAGTATCCGAGTTCTCGTTTCTGATTGGCTCAGAGGGGAAGCCATTTGATAGTACCCATCGTTACCATACAGTCCAGCTATGATACGTTTTGTAAACTAAACGAGCGGTTTATTAAATAGGAATATACAAATGTAAAAAAGATTCCCACTGTAAACAGAAAAATAAAAACTAAAATATGATAATTACAACTGCACGAAACAAACATTTCTAGTAAACTAGTAAAAGAGTTTTTTTTCTTCCGCGTCTGGCTCTTTCTTTTTCGACATCTCGAGATTCTCGTTCACAGAATTCACAGACGCTGAACTCGTAAGAAATTTAGCGACCGCAGGATGTCGTTCAAAGCAGTAGCCGCGAGCAGCGTTCTTGTAACTCGAGAGCAAGTCTTGTAATTCATGTAGTTTTTGATKGTGAGTTGATTTGGTTTGTTTGACGTCAGAGTAAACGATGTCTTCAATGTAGTTTATTTGAGTCATGACGTCACCTATATATTGCAGTGAGTTTGGACTGTTTTCACAGGCTGTCTTGTGTCGTGAATACAAGGCATGTAGGCTTTCAGATGAAAGTACGATGAGCTTGCGAAGAAGGCTTTAATGAAAAAAAATAAAGGATTCAAGACAAATGTTAGACACATTTCAAAGGCCGCGCACAGAAAATCTATGCGCATGCGCCAATTGCCCTAGAAAACAAATATATATCTTTTTAACCTTTAAGAAACGAACTTATCCTTATTAAAACGATATACTTTTGCATTTGATATTTATTTTTTGAGAAACCTTTGGGATTTTAGTATATATCAAACAAATGGGCTCGTGATGTTACCCATAACCGCTGACGCATTTTTCAGGCTTGTCAAGTTATGTCCCAAGGAACTCAAATGAAATCTGGTACAAACAAATACGAAAGCGGAGCCATGTTTTCCATTAAAATAATTCGAAAGTAAGGAAGATTTTAGTATAATATATGCTGCATCACCGTGACCACAGTTGTGTCATATCTTTTGGCAAAGATTATCAATGGACCTTTTATCTAGGGCATAACATTTCCCATCAAAAGGAATGGAAGACAGAAGTGCACAAAGTAAAAAAGCCTATCACATGCTTCGTTCTTGTATTTTCCCTGCTATGAAGCCCTTTAAAAAGATATCCATGGATACTGATAATAATTTTTTTTAAAGTGATTGTTTTAAAGATTTTTTCTAGTTTACCTTTTGCTTTTTCTTGGTAGTTTTCTCCATGTTTTTAGTAGCCTAGCAACAGGAAAAGCTTGAAGAGCACCAAGTAGGGTCTTGACAGCCTGGTAGTTGTAAAGACTAGCACAGCAGTCRGCAATCTATAGGGAAATTAATAAAAAACTATATTGATGATATTTACGAATTTTTGCTCGTTCTCACTTTTTTCTTCCTTTTTTCCTTCCTTGCTACTTTATCTTCTTCAGTCTTTTATTTCTCAACCAGCTACAATGGCTTCCWTCTCCCAAACCCCTGTTTCCATTTGTTACTATCCCGTTTCTTTTGTTTCCCATTTTCTTTCCTTTCTATTTTCTTTCCTCATTCTTTTTTACTCCTTTTCTCCCGTTACTAAGGAAACTCCGGTTATGGACTGCCTGTGTCCCGGAAGTGTAAGAATGTAACTGTAACAACTTTATTTATTTAATTATTTTTCTATGAATATTTTTATTATGCATATTCTTTTGGAAACACCAGAAGACAAAGCAACCAATATAAAGGAAGAATGCCCTAGATGACTAACGTTATAATACATATCCGCGGTAGGCTAATAAGGGGCATATTCAATTGAATGCTTTATGCAAATTATCTGATTTTGCCGCGTCTAACTGCGTCAATATGTAAATTAGTTAACCAAGTCTRATATCAAGATGGCGGGAGTCAAGGTCGATTCAAAGTGACTGAAAACGCCTTTATGGTTCAGAGAATATTGCAGAGGAATGCCGAACCAGGTAATATACGYAATATCTATTTCTTTTATTGCATGGTGGGTCGATGAGTTAGCTATGAGTTCGTCTGTGTTCAGTGTGTTCAAACGTCGAATTTCACAGGTGCCAAAGAAGATAGTTTCAGATTCGGCACGTGTATAAAAAAGCGACGCTAGCTAGAAATATGTCTTACCTCTGCTCGAGAACACAGTGGATCACTTGTTATCGTTTCAACATTTTTTGCCAGTGACCTTTACCCAAAATTCTAGCTCTTGAAATATTCCACCTCAGAAATATTCAAGCGGCCATGTTTCCATGAATCAGTGGTTGGTCATGCGCATACTCAAACCGCTTTTTGTTGACAACCTGTACTTGTTTATTTGCATTTGGGACGCATTTGGGTCAGTTAATTAATATGAAAATGGGGTTTATTCGAGTTTGTATGATAACAGTTCTATACTATGCTTCCATGCTTGGAATGGCAGATATTAGAGTTACGCTCTATTGCCTTCAAACGATTGTTTCAAGTTCAGGCATTTGGGTCAATGAAATCAATAGTATGAATCTCTTGAATGAAATGTAATGAGTCAGACTGACCCAAATGCCACAATGGTTTGAAGGCTCGAWTATCTGATATTATTCTTACCGCAATGACTTTAGCGATGATTTGTGCCCTAGCAACAGGCTCTTTCTGATCTACCACTTCAGTTGCTATGATACCAGCCAGTCGAGAATGGAAATCTGTCATCCTTGTAACATTAGGCGATAAACATGGCTGTAAAGAAAAAGAAAATAAACAGAAAATAATAATCAGTTAACTGAAATAGCATAGCCAGTCCTCTTTGGACATTATGTATTGAGTAATCACTGATAATGTGGGTAGAAACAATGCTGCAAGGGAACAAAGGATGCTTCTTATTGTCTGAGGAGCATTAGAGGTCTCTCTTGTAAATCACCTTATGGTGACAGCGATAACCTCAATAAAGATTATTTATTATTATTATCGAAAATGAACCACTATTAAGATAAAGGCTTACAGCATTATTATCAATGGATTCATTTAACTCAGGCATAATGTTTTCCCATTTCAGAACAATTGTCATTCTCTTTATAATAATACTCTTTGTTTGAGTTGCATCTATATTCATGTGTCTTCTTATGCGCAACCATTAAACAAAGAAATGATACTGTAGGGAATGACACGTTAAAGAGTTCAACACTCGAGTATCAAGTTCTCTTTTGCTGAAGGTGTGTTCCAGTSAAGATCCATGGAATTTTGAAGTGTCTGTATTATTGAAGTTGTACATTCTTYACTTTATCTTTGATATTTGTGAATATTTTTTATACAAGGCTAAGCCTGGACAAATTAGTCTGTTATCAAGGAACGCAGCAGTGATTTCAATTAATTCGGAACTTTAAAAAGGTCTCTAGCATCATAGAATATTACCGGCATTGATTGCATGATACCCGAATTCACATTATAGCATCAGGTTTCCATATTCCTACTYCATGATGGTAATTGAACTGAGTGGAGTGCAATTTGGTCTGAAAGGATGCGATTAAAAGYTCCTAAGGATGYGATTTGGGAATTAATCGCACTCCTTTGAACCAATGGCATTGTAGGATTTGGTAGTGATTATAAAAAGGATATGATTAATAGCAAAATCATCAACATAACTATCACGAACCAATCAACTCACCTGATGTTGTTTTTTCCATRTTCTGTTGATAATCTCCTTCAGGTCTATACTACAAAACATCTCTTTCTCTAACATAGTCAGCTCCTGCGCAAACACAGTCGTATCGATATCCGTCAACCTCGTGGGTACATACTCCTCTACGTCGATCTTAACGACTGGGATGATCTTGTTATTCTTCTTACTACCAAACAGTCTTGGAAATCGTTCCCTCAGRCGTGATTTTACAGACGTTTCTTCAGCCTGAACAGGCTTCGTCTCGTCGTACTGTTTCGAGATACTTAGTTTAGGTGGATGTCGTTCTCTCAGAAAAATTGACAGATCGGTTTTTCTGAACATCGTAAGCATAAAAGTATTTACAGATTTAGCTGAAAAGTTTGTTTTTTTTGAGTTTGTGATTACGTCATAATAGCGTAACTATGTCATAGATTTGAAGTATGACGTCCGCGCGCATGTTATACTACTCCACAATTCTTGTTATTTTTTCTCAAATATTTTCCTAATTAGTCTTTTTTTTGAGTGGATAGCGCAACCCAACACAGCCCTCAAATAAACTACTTTTATTTTTTCTCTTATTTTTGGAATTTTATGGAAAAAATAGATTGTGAACAAAAGGCGAGAACAAAACTTCTCACTTCCAAGAAAACGCTCTGAACTTTGAAACAGCTTAACGTACAGTGTTTTCTGACCTGAAGGATTAAGAGTCAAGTGGTCGTGCATGCGCTCTTAATCATACTCCGTCATATGAAGTAGTTCCGTAGCTTTGGTATCCGGTCGCATTCCATCAAAAGGTTTTTCGTTTTTCTGGTGTTTAAAAGATAGCAGATAATAGCGGTAACCAAACCCTGTTGATCGTCTCGGTGTATGCATGAATGAACAAAGTGTTGACGGTAAAATGCCAGACGGGCGTTTCTTCCCTCCATTCCTTACTCCCTAGTTGTAACTTCTACTTAGATGTAAGAGAAAAGAGAGAAAACTTGTTTCTTCTTTTTGTTCTCAAACTGCGCGTTGAAACTCGAAGGTTTCGAACTCGAAGAGTCGCCGCACTTCGTGAGCCACGAAACCAAAGAACTCTGTGCGTCATCACTGCTCTTTCACCGCGCGTTACGTACAGGTAACTAAAAGGAAAAGTTYTCTTCTCGAATGGAAATCCCCCCAAAAATTGTTGCGTTTTCAAGTTYTTTTTCTTGACATTTCTATTTATAACGCTACCGTTGAATAAGACAGTTAGTCTAATTTTGGGTCAATACGTCAGTGATAATAGATTATACTCCAAGCTTTTTACGATACCAGGAGGAGTTCATTGACATGTATAGGTTTAATGATGCGCGCCGCCTTTTTGACCACGTGATTGCGCCTGGGCAGTGCCTACTTTCATGTTAATTCTCTTTTCTCGCGGCGTGCTTTAAATAAGGGATTAGTTATAGTTGTTTTATATCAAGATTAAAAAGCCAAGGTTTACATAAAAGATTTATGATTACCCTCATCATGAAATCTAAGAATAGAAATAAAGTTATATAATTTCAGATTTAGTGGTCGTTTTCGTTTTCGTTCTTTTACAATTTTACATACTAGTAATAATGATGTTGACTTTTCAGTAACGAGCTGGTTTCGATATTCAACCTCCAAATTCTCTTTTTGCATATTATTGTAAAAATATCTTACTTATCAGGACCTTCTTGAAAATCACATTTATAAGTGAAGWAGCTTCCTGTTAAAATATGAATGTAAATAAATAAGATTTCTACTCAATTATCACTGATTGGCTCAAAGCTAGACTAAAAATCGAAATACGGTATCTGTGTTTGACGAAAACCAACACGCACTGTGTCGGAAATTATTTAGATAAAGAAAGATAATTGTGACCTTGAGTAACACGGACCGACAAATTAACAGACTTAAAAAGGGAAATTTTAAGATTTCAAGCACATGGCGTGGAATACACACCACGCTTGTCCTTAACACCCAAAGAAAATCCAGTATTTTTSGCTGCGCATTAAAGTACGTTTCCTATAAAAAGRATTGCGCGAAAATAAAGTAGCAAGSGATTTTMSTAGGGAGAGTTTTGACTAAACAGACTTTGGGATAGACAGGAGCCAAGTGCGGTCAAGTGAAGCTTCGATTTCGACCTTCTTATTCTCTGAGTTTGAAGAAGGTTTAGAGATGAAGAGATAATAGCCCGCGCGCGCGCGCTGAAAAGAGAAGAGTACAGATATGATTGTAGGGTATCATGTGGCTTAAGTAAGCAAGATTTAAAGACCCGCAGTTAGTTTTCATGTCGAGGTCAAAGACGCTCGCGCATTTGAGCCCCCGCAGATGCAACCAATGAGGAATGCATTGCATTTGGATTGATAGTTCCGTACTTCTTATCATGGAAAAAATGTAGAATAGGCTTCTTAGGAAGACGAGGGAACATTAACATGAATTTGATGGCATTCCTWTTAATTTTCAGTGCAGGGAATGTGGGGATCGTCTGCTTGAACAACACCGGTAAGCAAAAGGCGTTTACAAATGTTAAATACAAAATAACTGATTTGTAATGTTGCAGTACAAATTGACGGACCATAAACCCRTGCACTTTTGAACGCGCTACAACCTGAACATTCCAAGGCTAATTTAATTTATTTAAACTCGCAAGTTAACAGATCTCAGCCAATCCATTTCCATCACATTGCCACAAGTGGTATATATTTACATCACAGACATTTTACCTCAAATGAAGCGTTTAGTGTTTAGTAGATTTAAACTTGCAAGTCGCATTAGACTTCTAGAGAATTCGCTCATTTTGATCRTACAGGTCAAGGAGCAACGCGAACAAAGAAAAGTATGGTCCATGGTGAGTCGTGACGCGAAACTATAGTGTCAATAGCTTGGTACCACCCACGTGCTATGCTAAGAGGCAAACTAGCACGCGAACGAACGTTACTTAATCATTTAACAATATACCTAATTCGCTTCTGATATTCTATAGAAGTATTTTGAATGGTATTGGCTATTTMATTCCTTATCGACAACACACATTTRAACCTTTTGTTTTGWATGTCTGTTTTAGGAAAATGTGATACGAGAGATCCGAGTTCCGATAGCGCAGCTCTGAATTGACATTGTTATCACTTCATTTACACTTTGCAGTGTTTATTGAACACCAACGCGATTTTCGAAGCACCTGTCAACATGATTCGCCAAACGGCGGTAAATATATGGAATCGACTTAAATTGAGATTTTCCGAAAAAATAATCTTGTGTGGTCTGATAACAAATTCATCTGATAATTATAATGTACCATTCCTTTGAGGCCTGTAATTGTAATCATACGATTCTAGATGATAGAGTAAAGAACCGAATCTGTGCGCAAGGACGGGTTGTGATTTTACCCTAAAAAGAATGCGGTTCAACTTTGGTCTAYTTAATTAAGAAACTCAAGTGCCGATAGTAGCTCATTGACACTTTCGCTTCTCTAGCTAGACAATCGACTTTTTATCATTCGGCAAGAGCACTGAGGTTAAATCGAACAAAAAATGCGCAGTTCATCTAATCAAGAAAAAAAATATTCTCATGGTAATATTTGCTTAGCAAGTGACAAGGTCATTAAGATAGCTGATTGACATTCATTTGCAGGTTTTAATGAGAAGTTAGAGAAATTACCGCAGATTCTTGGAATGCAACAGCTGCTCAACTTGGCAAATGTTTAATGGATCGCGTACCGTTCTGAATTATATGTAACTGTGGCGATTTTTTTGACAAGAAGTGTTAAAAAAAATAATAATTTCTTCTGGTTTGTTCGTTTTTTGTTTTTGTTTTTTTGCGTTATGGTTTTTTAGTTGAAACATCCATAGGAAAAATGGCTCGAGTTTTCTTAAGGTTAATGCAGACGAAGGAAATACTACTTTTTTAAAAAATATATTTGAAATATGGCATTGATTGGGACTTTTGTATCAAATCTCTAGTTTAGSGGCCAGCCAGTCATCCTTCTCCTACCCATTTCCATCCTCTCTTCACATATTTACCTTGTTTCACTCTGCCCAAAATTCTATCTTCTTTTAACGAAACACTTGTCAAGCCACATGTCATTCCCTTGWGAATYATTTCTTTGTTTAMCAGCARCACTARAGAAGAAACATTWAWATGTAYAAGAAATTTTAWAAAATCAYAATCAAGAGARTGAAGCATGTAAAATATAGATAATATTACACTCAGTAATGAGTGAGATCTAGTCCAGTGATAGACCAATTCGGCTAACATAACATATCCCACATATCAGTGCTTCATTGACATGTTAATATAATGGACAAAGAAAAGTATTCYCAGTAGATTTGAATTGGGTAAAACATTGCGYTAGACGAATACTCCRRTTTCGAGTACTTGCTCAGCCTTAGTCTCGGTTGAATTGGCGAACTCGAAGATATGTTGAGGGCAACTGAAGTAGAATAACCAAAACATTATCCGACGTAAACAAGACAAAAATGCACTGAAAATCCATGCAATATGAAATAATACTCCAGCTTCGAGTTCTCTTTGCTCAGCCTTAGTCCCGGTTGTGCGTTATAATATTCAGCTATTCAACCAAAACCCGTGGCTATTTAAGTACGTCCTTACTACACATGGAGCTTAATAAAAGAAGATAACACATTTGTAAACAATCGAGGCTAAGACTGAGCAAAGATGAAATCAAAATGGGAGTATTGGTCTATTCCGGTTGAGTTTCAGAGTTCATAGATAGTGACAAATAAGTGAAAGTGAGAGATCTATGCCTGAGAGGTTCAATCTTCCCGGGGGGGGGGGGGTACTCCTATATATGGACTATACGGGGATGATACGCTGAACAGGGTATGGATTTTCGAGCTTCTTGTCATAAACAGGGTATGTAATTTCACTCAAGTTCCAAGTTATTCCTGGGCTTCCTGTCATATTCAGGGTTTCTACTTTCGTATTGACCGAAACTGGTTATTATGGTCTTAAAAAAACGATACGCGAGATGACATGATAATTGAAACAGGAACTCAGTGCGATAAATTATATCTTTTGTCATAAACAGGGTCTACAAATTCTAGTTTTTTTTGTCATAAACATGGTACCCCTTTCAGGATCCCAGCGGAACACCCCTACCCAAATTCTGGCGGAGAACCCCCCCGCCCCGGGTGAATCTTGCCCATGATATCAATGACCCATCCTTTATCATAGATATATAAGCGGCTCACAAGATACCAGTGAAGAGTCTGGCCTTTGGATCTTATGATTAAACAAAAGTTAATTAAGCATTTTTGTGTTGCATTAAACATGCAATCACCAATTTTGTTTTAGTGAACAATCCCTAGAGTGAAACGTGAAACCAAGTTGTC